GAAGCTGAAAAGTCCTTGACTAGTGTAAGCACTACTTAGCAACAACTAAAACATCGGTGTGTTATCAACATTGTTCTCATCCAAAATCCAAAACACAGCACTGTACCAGCTACTAGGAAGAAAATATCCCAGCCAACTCTATCCCAGCCAAAACCAGGACACCACGCAAACCCAATACAGTGGCTCAGGCACACAGCCTCCACCTCCCTTTCCCCATGCCTATCCCAAAGCTTTCTCCTTACCCCCTCTTCTGTATCCCTCAAGTCCTGAGTGTGGCTGCCGTCTCCTCCATTTCACTCTTGAGGAAATCTGTGTGTGCTTAACATGTTGAAGAGGGCAGGTTTATGGATCCTACCCCCTCATGGAGGGAGGCTTAGGGTCCAAGGAAAGAAGAGGTAGATAGGACCGAGTTCTTCTATCGAGTGGCCTCAGGGTTTCCTTGGAGGGCTGGGCTTTGGCTAGAACAACACTCATGACCTTACAGATACGTAAGTATTCAGAGCTGGGGGTAGAAAATTACTTTTCCTGCAGCTGTGCCACCTCTGGGTGATGGCAGATGAAGAGGGGCATCCCATAATGATTGCAGCAGCATGACAGCACCATTTCTGAATGTGACTCTGCAGGCCAGATTTATCATCATCATCATCATCATCATCATCATCATTATTATTATTAACTGACCCCAAGCTAGTTCCCTACTGACAGGCAAGAGTCAGCAGAGAGACTTCAGAAAGCAGCAGGATGCTCTTTTCCCTCAGCCAGGTATCCTACCAGTGGGTCCTCATCTTTTGTGTCCAACATTTCCTCTCCGCTATGAAGAGACTGGAGGGTGGGCAACTACCACAGTTGCCTTGGCAGCACCAGGAAAGGCTCAGGGATCTGTCCCATCTGTTCCCCAGGGCTCCTCCATCCATCCACATGACCTCTGGGGAACAGCAGCTCATGGGGCACTGGCAGAAAAGCTGCAGCAGGCACATTGGCAGGCTGCAGAACATGTCAGAGGCAAGTGAGTGCAAAGGTGCATCAGCAGCACCAGGAAGTATCAACAGCACAAATCACAAATTCGGAACCGAGCCTGCCAGCCTGTACAGGCATCATCATGTACTGTGCACAGCACGTAGAGCTAGGAAGCATAGCATCTGTGCTGTGCTCAAGTTCTGTTTGCTCTAAGGCAGAAGTTCCTTTCAGTGAGTTGGGAAATAGGAATAGGGTGCAGACCCCCAGACATGAGACATCAGATGCCATCTGGCTGGCCAATGACCACCCTCAGGCTTTTTTTTTTCTCCCCCCCTCCCTCCCCAGCAGGACTGCCTTCACCTTCTTACACCTAATTTAAAATAATAAATTACAAAGTTTGCAACTCATGTAGACCCTACTACAAGAACAACATACCAGCTGGTAAAAGGATACCCCTAAAGAAGCCGCTGTTCTTCTAGTTACTAAAGCCACAATTCAGGAAAGCTCTTAATACATGATGAATTTTGGACACACATCTAAGAAATGTGATTTTCCTACCTTGCATGACACAAATCTTTCTTTAGGCACTAGTAATAATGAACAAACGTGGCTTAAAATGTGACGTGCAGTGAAACACACAGTTCTGGCACCAAACTCCCACCGGCAAGGCTGGCAGCTTTCCTCAGAGCCTGTCCCTGCTACACATCTTCAGGTCTGCTCTATAAAAAGCACAACCATTCATTGCACCATTGCCCGGGTCTCAGCCATCTAGTTTGAATTTTACAGCCTTCAGAGAGAAGCAGGATAAAATTCAAATTCCCAGTTTATGCCAAAAACTTATTTTAAAAAAATTAAAAGACACCCTTTTCTATCCAATAAATTACACATCGTATTCTTGTGATTCAGTTCACAAAATAAGTTAAGACAGATATTGAAAAAATTAAGCTGTTGGCAACCAGTAACGCCCACACTGAAGCTTGAATCACTGAAATGGAGCAGATCTCACATCTCCATTGGCTTCCAAACAGCCATCACTTAGGATTTCTCATTTATCTGCTCCTTTTCATATAGAAGTTTAGGTAGATTTCAGCTTTCTTGTACCAGAAGTTTGGATTTTCCCAAATTTTAGACAGCGTTAGCAGAATTTGTAATTATTTATTAGTGCTTGTGTAAATCATTTGCCTGTGCTGTTTTCTGACAAATTAAAACCAGTAATTTCTTTACTGGGTTTGAAGCCACCTAGGTAAAATCACTAAGGCTTTCTGAAATAAGCTTAAAAAAAAAAATCACATAACTTTTACTCTCAGATGGCCCCATTTGTGCCTCAACCTGGTAGTACCATCCTTCAGACAAAAAAGGGACAGTGGAGATGTTGTCCTGAGAAGGTTAAGGCAGGTCATGGCAGGAGAGACCCATACACATCACTTCCAAACTGGCAGGGCAGTGCATGCTTGATCTTTGTACAGACCCAAACTACTGCTCATCATGTAAATACTAAAAATAAAATTGAATTAGAAGTTTGACCCAGCAACATGACATGAGAAGCGTTTATGGCAGATGACAAAGGTAAGGGAGGCATTAACTAAGGAAATGTGAAAGAGGCATTAACTGAGGGTTCCTTTCTATAAGCTGTATGTGGATTTCATCATACTACGATTTCAAGAGGAATTTAAGTGGGTGTAACCAAATAATGTAAAAGGTTATAGCTGCACCCTTTCTAATGTATCCGTTCTTAGCAGAACAAAGACGATCAGCACAATGTCCTCCTTGCCCCTGGGCTCCTTTTTGGACTGACATTCTTCTAATGCAGTGGTCTGAAGCACTTGCCCTGGCAACAAAATGGGAAAAACAAAACAAAACATAATAAAAATCCTGTAAAAATGCAATGTAAACTTCCTCCTACCTACCGCTCTTCTCCGGTATCTCAGGAGGAGTAACCAGTATGGCTGAAAGAAGAAAATTTATTATAAACACAGCATACAAGCCCCAAAATAGAGCACCTAGATTTTTTCTCCCTCTGTGGGAAAGACCAGATGGAGGGAGAAAAACCAATATGCCAAGTTGAGATGGGTTGTCTCAATCCTGTGAGGTGAAAGGAAAGGATATGTATAAACAGAAAATATGTAAAACAGGGAACATTTAATGTTTTTTCTTTGTCATGTATAAACAAAATACTTACATGAATTGAGTCAATAAGTGTCAAGTGTTTGGCTTTATGACTGCACTCCAACTGATTAATTTGTAACTCACCAAATGCAGTCTAGATGAACTCAGTGTCATTTCTGAGACTCTACAAAGGCACAGTAAAGACAAAGCAGTCCATATATAAAACTACTATATAGAAACAAGAATCGTGTTGTAAGAAATATTCACATGGCTTCATACAGAAAGAATAAATTTAAAGATGCAGTCTTAGAGAATGAGATACAATGTCTGGATAAGGTTGAAGTCCTAGCTGTTTGTTATCTTTCAACTTTTGTATTATAATTCTGGCAAATTCCTCTCCTTGGCTGTCCGAGGTATCAAGAAGTTGTCGGACTTTTGATGTCCTTGTAGGTTTGGTGCTTATAAGTTCATAGTCTTCTTTCATGAGTAAAAATCTTGATAGAAGAGCATCCAGTGACTGATTCAAACATGCTTCAGTCATCTGATCAATAATTTCTTCTCTTTTACTTTGGATCCATTGATGAGCTACATTCTGTTGTACCGTTTCCAAAACAAAATCTGAGACTGGAGAGGATTAAAAAAAAAATTAGTATTGTAATTGTCTGTCAATAAATAGTGCCATAGAACAAAGAACAAGCTGAGAAAGAGCTGTTTAAAACTTGGTTTTGGTCAGAAATACACTAGACTACTAAACATACTTTTAACATTTCACTATTTTATTCCACATTTAAAATGTACCAATTTGTCAGATTTGGCTGTTAAAGTATTTATTTTATCTGAATCACGGAATAATTTAGGTTGGAAGGAACCCTCAAGGAGGTCATCTGGTCTAATGGCCTGCTCAGAGCTGGGCCAACTTCAGGGATAACTCAGGTTGCTCAGGGCCTTGTCCAGCTGAATTTTGAACATCTCCAAGTGATGCAAGTGTGAGCAGCCTGCTCCAGTGTTCAACCCGACCTAGTACTAAAAAGAGAGAGGTGGTAACTTCACTTTCCAGTGGGATTCTTATTGAAGTTTACTGAAAACATCCCTGTAGTTTCCTGTGTATTTTCCTCAAGCTGAGGATTCGCACAGTGAAAAGGTGCTGATTTTAATATTTCCAGAAGAGGGATGATACAGCAGATCTTTATAAAGTTGCATGTTATTGTGTGGCCCATAAAAAAAAAATCTCTCTGAATAATTCATCATGCATTAAAGTTTCTTTTTGTTATCATTTTTTTGGAAGCACACTTTTAACAGTTACTTCGTGCTTAGCAATATCATGCAGTGGACTCTCAGCTAACACAGAAAATCATTAAAGGTGAGATGCTGACACAGTTGCTGCTTCTCTTTGCCCCGCCATTACTAGGAGGAAGATTGACAAGCCTAAAAAGTGAGGAGAAGTGACAGGCAACAAGATGAGTTAAGCTCAGGCTAACTTTTATTCCTGTTCTGCTGGATTGGTTCATCTTGAGGGCGCTCACAAGGCATGTGCGGGACAACCAGGGGATCAGGCCCAGCCAGCACAGGTTCATGAGAGGCAGGTCCTGCTTGACCAACCTGATCTCCTTCTATGACCAGGTGACCCACCTAGTGGACGAGGGAAAGGCTGTGGATGTGGTCTACCTGGACTTCAGTAAGGCCTTTGACACCGTCTCCCACAGCATTCTCCTAGAGAAGCTGGCGGCTCACGGCTTAGACAGGTGGACTCTGCGCTGGGTCAAAAACTGGCTGGACGGCCGGGCCCAGAGAGTTGTGGTGAATGGAGTTAAATCCAG